TGTTCTTATGTTCTTATGTTCTTATGTTCTTAACCACAGACATTTAGTTTGCTCTGCTCTTGATTGTTGAAATGAGTGGTATCACCTTGGTGAGATCCAAAGAGCTCTTTGTGATCTTCAGAAAGAAGCTTGTAGATGCATATGAGTCTGGGAAGGATATAATAAGATCTCAAGAGAGTTTAGAATCAGCCATTCCACTGTCCAGAAAATTATTTACAAGTGGAGAACACTTAAAACAACTTCCAACATGGCCAGGGCAGGCTGTCCTAACAAGTTCAGCCCAAGAGCAGACTGCAAGATGCTGAAAGAAGTCTCCAAAAATCCTAAAATGCCATCATAGGTCAAACAGGAAGCTCTTGCCACAGTTGATGTCAATGTGCAAACATCTACTATCAGAAAGAGACTGCAAAAGTTTAATTTACATCGGAGCTGTGCAAAGAAGCAGCCCTTGCTGTCAAAAAACATCTGGGCAACACTGAAGTTTGCCAGAGACCACCTAGACAAAGACTCGGACTTTTGGAACAACGTGCTGTGGACAGATGAATCTGAAATTGAATTATTTGGGTGCAGTAACAGAGGACATGTTTGGGGTAAACCAAAGACAGCTTTTGAGCAAAATAACCTCATACCAACTGTGAAGCATAGGGGTGGAAATGTCATGGTTTTGGGCTGCTTTTATGCAGCAGAACCTGGCCAGCTTACCATCACAGAATCCAATATGAATTCTTCATCATATCAGAGGGTGCTTGAGGACAATGTGAAAACATCTGTCCAGAAGTTGAAGCTGAAGTGGGGGTGGACCATGCAAATGACAATGACCAAAAGCATTCCAGTAAATCTACCAAGGAATGGCTTACAAGAAAGAAATGTGGAGTTCTGGAATGGTCAAGACAAAGCCTGGATCTGAATCCTATTGAGATGCTGTGGGGTAATTTGAAGCGGAAGTGCATACAAGATACCCTTCAAACATCACACAGCTTAAGGAATTCTATATTGGAGAGTATGGAAAATTTTCTGCCAGTCGATGACAGAGATTGAAAGATGATTAAAGAAAATGTCTCATTGAGGTTATTTCAGCCGAAGGGGAAAAATACTAACTATTAGGGCACAGGGTGTCCAAAATTTTTTCCTCAGTAGGAATTTGCATCTTTAGTTAATTTCCTTTGTTAAATACGTGAATTTGTTTCTTGTTTTTGCATAGGTGATGCAATTACATCACATTTATCTACAGATATAATTTGAAAGAGAGTTAATATTGATATTCTACAGAAGAGGATTAGGGCCACCATGAAAATATTATTTGAATTCTGACTTTAATGTCAGAATTCTGACTTTGACTGAATTCTGAGTTTTCTAAACTCACAATTGTGACATTAAAGTCAGAATTCTGAGAAAAAAGTCAGAATTCAAATAATATTTTCATGGTGGCCCTAATCCTCTTCCGTAATATTCTGACATTCCTTAAAGAATTAAATATTCAATGGGGCATTCAAATTTTTTCTCGTGACTGTATACTTTCCACTTTTTATTTTATGTTTCTTTTGAAAATATGGCATGTTGAACTTCAGCTTAAATACAGAAAAATCAATGAGCATGTCTTTGATATATTCAGCTGAAGGTGAGACTCCTTCCACCACTTGACAAAGTCATCAATTACTGGACTATGGCCAGTCTCATTTTTCTGAAGCAAACTTACAATGACTCATCAGCATACTTAATTATGGTCTTATTTTCCCACCAACTCTGACACTTATTTGTGTATATGATAATAGAGGTGAAAGCACACATGCTTATGGAGTGCCAGTTGAGGAGCAAACCTGGTCAGACAGGCTTCCAATAACCCTCACTCTTTGTGTCCTGTTGATTAAAAAATAATGAATCCAGCCCTTGAGATTTTTATTCAGGTCATACTGTTCTAGTAGCCTGGTAATTAAAATGAGGTGGAATTGTGTTAAAAGCAGAGGAAAAGTCAACAAATAAGAGTCTGGCATGGGACCTATGTTTCTTCAGAATGTTTAAAAAGTAAGTTAAGCAAAATGACTGTGGTGTCTCCTACACCCCAGTGAGGCCTGTAAGCAAGCTGCATTTGGTCAAGTACATGCTCAATTTTCCTTAGGATTTCAGATCTTACTAATTTTTCATCACAATTGATGTGAGAGCCACCGGTCTAAAGGGTTTTAGTGGTTAAGGGTTTGGGGATAATTGTAACAGGGACTACCACGGAATCCTTCCAGACCTTGGGTATGTGTTGCTCTGTAGAGACTTATTTATTCAATAGTATCTTTATCTGTTTTTTTTTTTTGACAGAACCTGCATTATGCTGTACTTCAACAGTATACTGTATATTGTAAACAATTTAAGCCATTTAGGGTATCACTCCCAAGACACAGTCTGTATTTGTAGTGTCTGAAATTGTAATGCGTAATGCTTGCAAAAAAAAAAAGCACTATAACCTATAGTTACATATACTTTCTCATGTTCTTTCTGTGTTTATATGTATTTATTCCACTTTTAAAGAACTATCAGAATGTGAATCAAACCCTTGTCTGAATGGAGGGATGTGCCGAGGCTACAGGGGAAGTCGACTATGTCTGTGCAAGGAGGGTTTCACTGGAAAATTTTGCCAGACTTGTGAGTTGAAATAACCTAACTATTACTCTAGTGTAACATGATCTACATGTGTTCCAGAAGCTTTTGCTCCAGTGAAATCTCCACCAAATAAATCAACCTTTGTCGCCTCCTAGTGGAGAATCCCTGTGTACTGCAGCCCTGTGGAAACCGAGGCTTCTGCTACACTGATCAGAAGGGGAACTACACTTGCACCTGCAGGGTGGGTCACACTGGCAAAGACTGTGAAAAAGGTTAGCAGCAATGTCAATTCACTAGAATGACAATTATATTTATGTAATTTATGTAATGAGGGATGCTGGGATAACTGAACAAAACCTGAATGTACTTTCTCTCTCTGTTTAAAAACAAAAGAGGGCCTCTGCACTAAACAAATTTCATAGGGGTTCCACACTTTTATTTTAGATTAGAAACTTATCTTACATGTTTCCCCCTTTTAGAAATTTCAGATTTTACAATTATATATAGCCCAATTAACTAGTTGAGTTCACAGTCACATACCGCTTATTGTGCAAATGTGTTATACTATAGACATATTTATATTAAGTACTTGGTGTAAACAGAATATCTGTAATATGTTTCTTTCATTAACACATTTGTATTAATTATAGTGATTAATTCAGTTACTTAGATATTGTCGTATATTACTCAGCCATCGTGTTAATATAACTATAAGTTTTAGTAAGCTTGTGCAAAAAAGTTTTACCTGGTTGCACCTGGTCAGGTGGCAGAGTTTTATAACAGTACTGTAATATTGCATCAGGGCTTGTCCTTTGAAAAATGCAGGCGCACATATATTTGTGCACCTAAAAAGTGCTAGGTGCACAATTTTTTTTGTGCACCCTAAAAGTGCTAGGTGCACAATTTTACCTTTTTTGTGCGCCTAAGATGTGCTTGGACTTTGGTGCAATGGGTCAAAATGTACTTGTACTGTATTTGTACATATTTCTGTTTTTTGTAATCCTAGTTTTAGTTGAGAATTTTGCACTAGTTTTAATGCTTTAACATATTTTGTAGAAACCCATTTAAAGTGAATCACTTTTTATTGGTGAATAAAATTTGCAATTCAGAATTCAGTCTTTTTTGCATCAATACTTTGGAGATTGTCCTCAATTTGCATAACACTTGCTGCAGAAGGCTCAGAGGGGAAGAGCACCATAATATTAAGATTATATGGGCCAAAACTTAGAGATGGCATCCAATAATTTGTATGAGCCAAATTCTGTTTCTCCACTGAAATTGCATTTGTTAGCCAGTGTCTTCTCTGAAAACTTCATTCTTGGATGAAGAACACATCAGCAGTCGATCCCAGCAGCAGCCAATCCTTAACATGTATACAGCTAATACTAACTAGTTATGAAGATGCCATCTCTTAAGTACTTGAGTAGTTTTGAGTAGGTTGCCTTCCAGGATAGAATCTGCAACTAGACCACAGGGTGAGTAATGACAGCAGCCAAGGATATTGCTGTTGGACTAGGACTAGGAGTGGGGATAGCTCAATATTAAGAGTTGGACAATAGGGTTGGGTCGATAGACGATGCCATCGTCCATCTCCGATGGCCGATAGACATCACGATACTGAGCCAACATCGCGATCTTCCGCCCCACCCCCGCCGCAGCAGCAACCAGCTCACGAAAAACACACACTTAATCACACTATATAGCCAAATTAAATGCATGCTTTCAATTTCCGCATCTTTACTTATTAAAAAGTAAAGAAAAAAAGTTACTTGTTAAATCGAACTTGAAACATGTCAAAATGGACAGACAGTGACGAAGTATCGCAGCCGCAGTGCTGTCTTAACTCGGTGGGTATGCCATGGACGGTCGGTAGTGGACGCTAGATAGTAAATCTCGCCCAACTTCTCAGCACATTTTTTGACCATCACGACTTGCTTAGTTGTCAGACAATGAACTCACCTCTAGAACCATTTCCTTCCCGCCTAAATTAGCGGTTTTACTTGGCAGAATCCCCCTCCGCATCACGTCCCACTTCAAAAACGTTGCATTCTGATACGGATGACCCTTGCTATCCATACTTTTTTTCGACGCCATTGTTGTCATGAATAATTCCGTGGAGCGTCGAGTGGTCATGTGACAAATTATGAGGCGCGTACAATTTAATTCTTTTTTATTGATAGGCGCGCATCTCTTTGCGCAGCTCTTCACCATTTTAGGCGCGTGATAGACAAGCCCTGTTGCATGGGTATTCTATGGTATCTCCAGGGTGTGAATTACATATGGATAATATTAATATGGCATAATATTAAACATAAGTCAGGCTATATACCAAGAAGTCTGCTTTTTCCCTAGATCTGTTGCCACCGTCCGGCCTACATGTGCTGCGGGTAGAGGAAACAGAGGTGGAGCTGCGCTGGGACCTCCCATACTCCCCAGAGAAGCTCATCAGTGGCTTTGCTGTAACATATGCGCCACTAGGTCGTGGTGCCCGCAAGACAGACTTCCTGGACAGGCAGCAGTCCAGTCACCTGCTGCGTGGCCTCATACCTGGTCACCTCTACAACATCTCAACCTTCTCTGTCAAGCGCAACAACAACAGCAATGACATCAGTCAGCCTGCTGTTGCCTTCATTCGCACTAGTAAGCATTCTCACTTCTTCTTTCTTTAGAGTCAACCACAATTAGACTTGCTAGTTGTTTTAATCAGGACCAGTTTAGGAGGGTGAAAGCCCTTAGGATAAAGTCATTGCTGTGGCCCTTCCTAGAGCATAAAATGCTGCTGTGAAAATTTGGAAAAAAAACTGGGGCCTCCTACAATTCAGGGCCCTTGGCTACAGCCCAGCTTAACCTCTGCATTAATCCAATCTTGCTTTTAAAGGTACCATAGACTGCAAATCTGATTTTACCTTGGCATAGTTGAATAGGAAGTTTGGCATGAAACTAACATACAGTGATTCTCAAACACTATTGTTCCCACTTTCAAATATAAATCCCACATATTTAAAAGAAGGTGGTAAAACGGGCTGATAAAAAATCCTGGACTGTAATGTATCATGCCCCCAAAGTTTAAAGGAACAGTTCACCCTAAAACAGAAAAAAAAGGTTTTAGAGGGGCTTAAGTGGCATCTATCTGTCTAGGTCCTTCTGCTGGTAGATGCCTAGTTTGGGAGCTATCGGTCATAGAAATGTCGGGCTTCTCTCAAATATAATGGGAGTGAATGGCATTCTTTCTGTGGTGATTAAAGATCCAGAAAAATAAATTTGAAAAATCAAACAGCAATGTCTCTTACCAGAAATCATGACCTGGTTATTGAAGATAATCCACAGACTTTGTAGTGAGCAATTGAATGTATGAACAATTTCCTTCTACCGAACCCACACACCAATCGTATCACTGCACAGAATATTCAAGCACAAGCACCCCAGCGATATCTTCAGAACTAGGCATCTCCAGCAGAATGACCTAGATGGATAGGCAGCACTGAAACTCATATCTTTGTAACCCATCTCTACGTACTTCAAAGTAATGGGCTGACCTGGGTTCTTTGGCTATCACCGTACTGAGCCCCATTATTAAATCTATCTACAGAGACCCTTCAACATACGATGTTTAAACAGAAACAAAACAAACTTTATTTTACAAAATAATAAACAACTCAACCATTCCTCTCTGGCAATGAATAATCAAGAAAAAAGGAAAAGGAAAAGAAAGATCTTCCCAGGGGCGTTTCTAGGATTTTCATTTAAGGGGGGCTCAGCCCCCATAGATGTTTGACACATATTTGGCTTGTTCAGAATCAGTACTCAAATTAATCTTCCTGATTCCTCATAAATAAGACAGTAGGTTCTACATTCAACCCCTTAAAAAACTTTATATCTACTAGGCTATTTATTCTAATTCATTAATATAGACAAACATTGTTTTAATGTAATTAAACAAAGCATCTTTTTATATCATTCTTTTTTTGTTTCTATTCATTAAAAAAGTAACTTTTTCTAAATCAAATTGACAAAAAACGCTACTCTAAG